TTTCAGGGTCGCGGGGGGCGCTGGAGCCTATCCCAGCTGTCATAGGGCGAGAGGCAGGGTACACCCTGGACAGGTCGCCAGTCTGTCGCAGGGCTGTGATACTTCATCATTTTTTTTATTTTTATTTTTATTTTAAAAAGCTACTGGCTCACATGGCTCTGTATTTATTTATTTATTTTGCCATAAACTTCCTTTGTTGTGTATTGTGATCCTGAAAAAGAAGCAGAGTTGACCATGAAATCTGTTTCTGTTTATTCACCGTCGCTGCAATACTCAATTTATTCCTTAAGCATGAAGTCAGCAGAAAGATTTTTTTTTAAAACAGCCCTTTTTGCAAAATGAAAATAATAACAATAATTAAAATTTGCACGGTCCAGTCTTTTAAAACCGTCGTCTCACATGCTTGGTTCTTTGCTATCATTCACCTTTGAACAGAGTGAATAGCCTTTGCAGGTAAAATGTCACCTGGACTTGATGTTTAATTATCAGCTTTTAAAATGACTATTATTGCCATAATACGGTTGATTACTGATTGATTAATATTGTCAGATTTAAACACTAGTTTTTCAAAAAGCAACTCGTGCAAAAAAAGGAAAAGAAAAACATGTACTACATGTAGGTTTAAGGAACACACGCATTACACAGAAATTAGGAGATGTCACAAAGACCATTTTGCTAAGAACTGTTTTATCCTACTTACCCTGAAGATCTGCAACAACAACAGCACAGAGGAATGAAGCGGATACCAAGAAGAAGAAATTGTGCTTTGCATGCAACTCCATGGTCAGCTCTGTGGATTGCGAAACTCCGCGGATTTTTCAAGAAGCGCAGAACAAAGAGACAGAGGAAGTGCGTCCTCATATGAAGGTTTCTTCTTTTCTCTTTGACAAAGAGGAAAGGGTAGTGTCTCCAGCAAGATATGACGTCATTCAGTTTGACGCCAAACCATAACGGGACTAAAGTCCAATCTACAGTCTAAACTTTAGATTCACTTCAGGACTCACTTCCAGAACACTTTCTGCTTCGGATGTCCCTCCTACTTCGCCGCTAATTCACAACTTTGTCTTGCAATCCTTTTTTTCGTCTGCCTGTCTGAAAAGCTCAAAATGTGAATTTGGTTACAAGTTTATTCATATGAGCGCATGCTTGTGTCACAGGCTCATACACGCTATGATACAGTAATTAATACAAGTGCAGTTGTTTTTGCTTGCATTGCATTTCTCATGACCCACACAGACACAGAGGTGTTGACACAGTTGCTCGGGAGGACTTCTGAAGGTTGAATGCACACAAGAGAAAATGTAAGAAAAAAATATGAAAAAACGCATGTTGCATCTCAAAGGATATTTGAGGGAATGGAGTGGTAAGTTTTCAGGTAATACTAGCAAAGGTCACAGACAAACAAAGTGCTGCAATATTGGTTTGTCAAATCTTTTCATTTTATAAATGTTTTATCATTTTGCAAAACCTATTTTTACAGTGCCAGATTTAAAATACCCTGGTAACACGCAGGTGACTTGAGATTGGCAGTTATTGTTAATACTTTCATCCTACTGGACAGTCTATTTACAGTTTTGTGAAAATGTAAGAATGACATTTTTTTCTTTGAAAAACAAAATCAGGGATTCCATTAAAAGAAAATGCCAAAATATTCATTGTATATTAGAATATGGATAATCTTCACAAGACCTTTAGATAAGGGAATTATGGTTTAGTCTAATTACTTTAAAATTGATGGAGCAGAGACCAGATGTGAGTTTTCTACAGCTCGCTGCGTTCTGCATTTTCCTCATGCTGTTTGATCTTCTCTGGGACGGTCTGAGTCAGGAAGACAAAGCGCTCCTTCTTCAGGTGCTGAGCAGTTACCTGCTTTTTTAAACCAATCGCCAGGTACTTTTCTTCTGCTCCATACTTTGGCCAGTGGACAAGGTTGTGCCCATGAGGAGATCTAAACACATATACATTTGTTATTCAGTTATTAAATGTGTGAAATTTACAACAGTTGGAAATTCCTACCCTGTGCGAGCAAAGTTCCCCCAGTAGCTCATCATGATCTTGCTCAACTGTTCTTCATCCTCAGGGCACGGATCTAAAACGATCATGTTGCAAAACATTTTTCAATCAACAAAACAAAATAGATCGAGCACTAAGGCAGAGTTTTTATAAAGTCTTACCGGGTAACCTAATATGGGTAGTTGTGAAGCAAAATCCCAAAACTATAAAAATTTCATCTCCGTGGTCACTCCCAACAAAGCTCAGTCTTTTCTGCTGCAGGAATTTGGGAGGATGTTGGTACTCATACAGGTATACAGGAGCACCTGCATCTAGAATTTGATGAATGTGTGTGATATTTGTTAATGAAAGTGTGTCACAGTAAACATCAAGTGTTGGGTTTTAAACAGATTTGTATAATCTTTCATTAAACAAATTAAATTACCTCTGTGAGCATTAGCAGCTTTGATCGCTGGAATGGTGAAAAACAAATCTCCAAGCATCTCAGTGTACCCATCTCTGTTTTTCACACGGTCGTCACCATTTCCGATATATTCATCAGCTATCACATCTCTGATAAATGCTGCTTTAGGCTTAAAGAAATAAGCAACACATCAATCAAAGAAGCTCGAGCAGGTCGGGGACAGTAATATTGTAACATCAAGTGGTGTCTGCCTTACGTCGGGGTAGAAGAAGGAAACCATGTTCAAAACAAATTCCCGATCTAGTCCTTCTGTCCAGTTTTGGGGAGCAAAAAACTAAGGAAATACCAAGCCACATTACATTTTTTGTTCAACATTACAAAACAACAACAAACTACATTGAGATTTGAGCTTTTTATTTACATGTTCCTGTGACACTTACTGATGCAAGCATCCATCCACCTTCATCATTATTGACACCAGTCATGAATGGAACAGCATGGAGTTCATGTTTACGAAACAGCTCATCCACAGGTTTAGTCAGGAAATGTCCATCAACATTTACTTGAAATCTTAATGTTGGATCCTTGAGAAAATAAAATGTACAAAAGTGAAAGATGTGATAGCATGAACAGAGCTGAGGGAGAAATCAAAGGCTTCAAAGAAATATTGTAGAAGACATAATAATCATATTCAGCTATTTCTATCAGGTATTCACCCATTACCTCACCTGTGTAAAACCCACTATAGTATCAATATCAAGGTTTCTCATGCAGTCACTGATCTTCTTTGTGCTTTCAAGACTGCAGCCAGATGCATTTGCAACTGCCTGAGGTGAAATGTCAAATATAAATGTCAAATATTTAGGAAAAGAACTCAATTGCAATATACTCATTAATCTGCAACAGAAATGTTATTAAGCCTCCAAAAAGACCTTGGCCATTGGTAGAGGATCATTTGCCACAAATACATTCATTGCAGCTGTGCCACTCTCAGCAATAGCACGGTGAAACAGCCCATCAGACAGTGGTGACAGGAGCTGGTGATTCAAGTAACACATCACATATTATTTTATTTTTTTTAGAGTGAAAAAGTTTATATAAAGTTCCTCTAACTGTAGATTCTTACCAGAAGAGACACGCTCACTCCACCAGCAGACTCTCCAAATATAGTAACTAATCCTGGGTCTCCTCCAAAGTTGTGAATGTGCTGCTGGATCCACTTGAGAGCTTCAACCTGGTCCTGCATTCCAAAGTTCCCTGAAATGTGCTCATCTCCAGTGCTGATAGAACAAATTGCCATTTTCATAATGTATTTTCCCTGATTGAAACATCTTTTCACAAGAGACTTTTATCCATGTGTTTAAAGCATCTGTGAGGACACATGTGTTAGGTCTGCACTCGCAAGCCTCGCTGGCTCAGAGACTTATCTCAATGAACAAAGCAAGACAACCAGAGCTCAATCAGCTTTCACTTGCGCAAAGGTAGCTGGTCCGGTCAGGATCCAGAGCTTCAAGCTCCTCACCTGATCCCAGACAACTCCAAATTCCAGCCTCCCCTTGCAGCCTTTTTATTTAGTGAACACAGTTACACAATCCCCCATTGTAAAACCCATATGATGTGTCGTAAAAGCTGAGGCACTGTGTGTGTGCATGCACGTGTGAGCATGTGAGTGCACGTGTGTGTATGTGTTAGTATGTGGCTGTAGTGTTGGGGGAGTAACGTAATACATGTACCGCCGTTACGTATTTAAAATACAAAATATGAGTAACTGTATTCCGTTACAGTTACCGTTTAAAAAGGTGGTATTTAGAATACAGTTACTTTGTTGAAATAAAGGGATTACACAGCGGTCTTTTCCTGCTTCATATGTTAGACTATGCCCTCTCCATTTTTGGTAATTCCAGG